TGTGTGTGTGTGTGTGTGTGTGTGTGTGTGTGTGTGTGTGTGTGTGTGTAAATTCATTAGTTCTAATAATTAAAAGAGAACGGCAATGAGATTTTAAGTTTCAGCCGCCACGCAGTAATGTGAGCATTACTCCGTTCCGGTTTTGAAGTGTAACGGTGCTGGTGACATTACAGGTACATGGGACTTGTCAAATTATGTCTCAGGGTGATTGGCGCAGTCGCAGTTCCCTTCACATTTTTGCGAGTTAAGGCGAGTCACTGGAGCGAGAAAAACTGTTTTGCTAGATCAAATGGTTTAGGTCTTTACTATTAAATACGTGTCTTACAAAAAATATACGATACACCTGAGGATATTATCTAAAGAATGTGCTAATTCGTTACACAATAGGATATACTTTATCCGATGAAATAAAATCCTGAAAAAAGGCTAAAACAAAAGGCCAAAACAAATTATTATTTAAGAATAAATTATCTAACTTTGAACATAATTTTTGTAATGGAAATATGTTTCTTTAAATACTACATAGAACCTGCTAAATTTTGGTTTCCAACTGAAGCCCTATAGTTATTCAATTCACATTTATCCCAAAACTTGAAAATTTCCCAGTTGTTTAACGACACGCCGTAGCGCCAACTGTCCCGCTAGTTACATCGGGCGCTTGTCAATGTCAGATCAAATTTTCTCCGCCTGTTTTATTATTATATTCTTTTTTATACAATCACTTCAATAAGTCACTTGCTGTCATAAAAGAATCTTTAAATCCCTGAAACATCCTGTCCTAATACAGAAACGCAACCATTGTTTTTTTTAAACTACTTCGTCTAGATATTCATCTTCCCCTCTTAACCTACTATCGTTGATTGTACATAACACGTCGAGCTAGAAATGCGACGAATTTGAATTACCTCGTCTTGGGCATGCGATCATTCGGTATATGTAGAGTTCGTAACACGGCTACTGCTTCATATTCACATGGCCACATTATATACGGTGAAATTTTAACAAGATAATGTCAAAAAAGTTTTTTTTACTTAAGGTGTCTCTTACAAAAATGCTATCACAATATTAAAATATTTTTTACTAAAATTGTTATTTAAAGCTATTTTTTATAACAGCCAAACATAAATAATGTACCAATATTTACACATAGTAAAATAAAATGTTATCTCAAGGAATACCTATAAGGTACAATGAAGCGTTGTACAATTAGTAGAACTTTGATCTTTGCCGACGTAATTAGCAGAATTTAACAAGAATATTTATTCTAAAGAAACACATAATTTGGCCTTTAAAATTCTAAGCTAAGTTGCTCGAGGAATTTATAAACAAAAAGATGTTTAGAGAAATTGTAACATAACCAAAGTCCCACGGATTGTTAGAAATTTCTACCTAAAACAGAGTCTTCGTAAATGGTACGATAATCAAACGATGCCTTACGTTTACCTCGATTGTGTAAGTAACAGATATTTTCGGGAATAAGACTAATTTCGGTTGATAAAGAGCAGACAATGGAAGCAATATTTCAACAAAATCTACTAGGAGTTCTGCTTTGTGATTGCTATATAATCCGTGAACAAAGGTTTTGATGTGGGAGTCCGGGAAATCGACCAAGTTAATATTGAATACTTGTTGTTAAATAGAATGCCAATTGAGAAGTTATAGTAGTTTCGCTCAACCTTAAAGGGGAGCCAGGGTCAGCAGTGGTATTGAGATGTTTTGCTGAAATTCTGATCAATAACTTTCATTAATACACTATTGAAGATGTTTTACCAAGTTATAACGTAAAGTAGAGTATTGAACGCCTTTGAATTTCGAATTTGAATTTGTGCATGAAACTGTTAATGGGTAATTTTCAGGTTAGTTTCTCTAGCTAATTTCGGTGTTTTTTCTATTTTAATATTCTAGAATATTATCAAATATTACTATTAATTACCTGAAATATCATTTAATATTTCCCGATAATATACCCGAATACATAAATAATAAAAACTGCCACCGAAATTAGTTCAAGAAACTAACCCGAAAACTACCCATAATATGAGCTAGTAATTTAATCATTTAAATGAGGTATTGGTACGTCTATCAAAACGATTTTATTATTAATGTTATAAACATATCTTGGGAAAATAAAAGGAAAAATAAAGAGAGGAAGACAGTGAACAAATAAAAAAACCTGCAGCGTACAACGTACAGAGGTCAATACATTATTACTTTGATTTCATACGGGGACTTAATATTTGAATTCAGCTCTATGCCACTTGCAATAAAGAAAAGTTCGAAGTATCGATATGGTTGCGTTCATTACAGTGCGTAATTTTTATATAAATTTATTTTATTAGTTTCCAATGAATTTTATTGGTCGCATTTCGTCACTTTATTATTGAGAGTGTGACATTGGCCGAAGTTTTAAAAGGGTAATAAAAATTAAAACCTCCGGTTTTACGAAGAACTTTAACCAAATTAATAGTCTTAAAGTCAAATAATCTCTATTTCATAGGTAAGCAAATTATAATCATTATCGTCATATTGATTGAAGTCTACTGCTTATTCGGAAAGCAGATTCCCCTGAGAAGAATGAGAAAAAAACACAAGGGGTTGCTCTTTTTAAATAACATTTGTACATATTTGTCATCTACAATATTTATATCAAACATCATAGACAGATATTACCAACAAGAGCTAAACGCGTCACTGTTACGTATTTTTATCACTCAAGAACGCAGAAGCTGTATAATCACCTTCAGTGTGTAAAGTTTATGTTTCTCTGTAATTTGCAACCTAGTGAATGACAAATTTTGAATATCAATCGGAATCTTATCATAGAAGCGTGTACACTGTACAATTCACATGTGTAGCACTTATTTATTTCTTCACCATATATTTTATACCTATTTAGTGTTATCTGTCTGATTTTCGTGTCAATATTTATTAATATTACGTGACAATATACGCGAGCAGTTAAATAATAAAAGTTGCCACGAAAATCAGTAAGACATCCCAGCCGTCTTATGGAATATCTTTAAAAAAATTAACACTTACCATTAACACTTTCTTGAAAAAAAAAAGGTTTTGTTTTTTTTAGTATCCCATTTGATAACGGATAAGTACTTACTCGTAGCACAGGTATAGATTTACTTAACCCGTTCATAGATTGATGACCTGTGGCTAGCGTACCGGTTTACACGATGTTGCCATCTCTGAGGTCTCGGGTTCGATCCCCAGACGGGTCAATACAGAAAACGAACTTTTCTATATTGTCTCGGGTATCGATAACACAAATGCTTTAGTTACTTCAGCATCCTACTAGTCATAGCCTTACTTTATTTTATACCAAAATGTTGACAGGATCAGCTGTCAGTGATAAAGCGTAACTATTATATTGAATCAATAATTTACTATGCCATGCTAGACTATGCATTGCGGAAAACGGTGGACGTTTTGAACACTTGCTCCGTACCACATAAGTGTAAATAAACTGTAAATAACTAAAAAATCAATCATTGTAAATAATTTGATTTCACATTTTCTTATCTTTTTTAGTACGTAAAACATTTCGATGATAGTTCAAGTAAAAAATAATTAACATAAGCTAAAACATAATCATTTTGATAAAAGCTTTTTCTATCATAACGTAAATGAGTAGGTGAGTAACTTAGTTTTTATTTTGGAGAGAAATGAGGTGCTTTGTCGGTCCTAAGCCCGCGAAAAAGTAAGAAGGACGATGTGAAATCATTGCTATTGTTGCTGTCTCACTCGGCGCTCGCTTGGTAGTATTCCCATTGCACTCGAAATCAAACGCAAAGGGAATCGGTTTATTCCTATGCACACTCCAAAACACATTTGTTGATTTATTTTTTGTTCTATTCCATATCCTAATTTTATTTTAGTCTATGTTAAGTAGTAACATGATTTACTATGACATGTATGAATATGTCTCACTTTCAAATATACAGCCTGTATAGTCATATTAGAGATAGACACATAGTTAAGAAAAATATGTAAATTACACAATAATATTTAATTATGCAAAATTGTAAATGAGGGAGGTTCTGTCTACCGTGGTATGATGTTACATCGCTCCAGCCAAGTCAAAACTCCAAGTTGTTGTTAGAAAAAAGGTTTATTTACGTCAATCACAATTCCAACCTGTATGACGCCAATACAGTTCGACCCTATATGTGGAAGGTTCGGGCAGTTGTTCCCAAGAAGGGACTCGACTTCTGGAACCCGTTCCGCGAGACTATGATTTTCACCCTATATGAGCGTACGTCAATATCAGAAGGTCCGGGCTGCATTTTCCAAGACGGGGCTCAACTCTTGGTTAGCCTTACTGAGCTTTCGATATTCTTAGATTTTTCTCAACATAAACAAAATAGTGTTAATAGTAGTCACCATTCGAGGGAAAATCTTAACACCGCGATTCAGAAATAACGCCAAATGGGTTAATGCCATCTAGCGGATTCTTAGTGAACTTAAAGTAAATAATATTCTGGTAAAGTAGGTTTGTTACACAATGTATATAAATTGCAAAAGTGTACTAACGACAATAGAATAGACAAAATACAAATTGTAATAATATAATTAAAGTGTAAATAATTAAAGTGAAAGTTAAGATAATAGGTAATAATAAAAAGACGATAAACGTGAATCATCAAACACACAATGTGATAGCCAGACTCCTGGTCACATTCCAGTAAGGAGCATGCAAAATAAATACATGTAAGTAACATACCATATCCGCTTACAAATGCTTCAACCATCATGTCGAAGGATGCTAGCGAATACCCAAAAAGAAAAACTAGCTGAACGCGGTATACGAATGGCACGTGCCAAACCGAGCCGACTGAGTATTTTGTCCTATTCTTCACGAATGATATGATAATTCAATTCGGCCCAAATAATATTTCGCGAAATATATATATATATATATATAAAACAGTTTGCTGCGTTCCAGTTTTGAAAGGTAGCGCGCTGGTGAAACTAAATTCACACTTGTCAACTTTGTGTCTAAGGGTGGGATGCAGTGCCAGTACTCTTCAGATATTTGCGATAGCAGACTTTGAGCGGCAGTGCAACTCTTACGCATAGTGTTGTGCCACGGAAAAATTTCAGTTTTGAAAATAAATATTTTTCCTGTATTTTTCCACATTTGACGGTAACCTATCACAAACTCGATTTTTTTTTCGAAATAACGTTTTTTCGAGTTTTACGGAAAACCGAATTTTAACCGCTCACGCGATGCGCTCCCCCTACCGCAAAATGGCGGCTATTTGGTTTCGCAAATTAGAAAAGCATTCAGTTTAAATACAAGTTTTTATAAATAAAAATTATTATTCTGCATTGCTAAATAAATACCCTCCGTACTACCAACAAAAACATCTCAAATAAAATGCAGTAATACACCGCAAATCCTGCACTTAAAAAGCACTAATGAAATTTTTGGTCTACTTGGATAAATATGATAATATTCCATTTGAGTGGTTCCAACGTTTACCATGAAATTACTCCTTAAAGTATAGTTTATAAACATTTATATTCAGGGTAAACTTAAAAAACGCTACTTACGGTATGTTTTCAATAAATAAACACCGAAATCACCAGCCCAAACAATAACACACACGATTGTAGTGACATATTTTTGAAGTTGTTTATTTTTTTTAAATGACAGACCCAGGCATTAAAAACTTTATGGTTTGCTAGAGTAGTTACCGAAATAGCGATTAATATTAGTTCTTTTACCTGTTATAACTTCGATATCCGATAAATCGGTACAAAATCATCACCGGCACCTCTAGGTGTGGTATGCGTCTACGGCTGCATGTATCGCGTGAGCGGATAAGGGAACCGTTCTTCTTTCAGAATATATTGGATATTTATCGCAAAGACACGGTTAGGTTAAGTTAGGTTTAAAAGAAAAAAACATTTTCCTCTCAAAGTTACTTTCGAGGTCATGAAAATTCCAGCAAATGTTATTTCTGGAAAATGTCATTTCGGACCACTGATAGTTAACCCATTTGACATACACTGAACTCTATTACGAGACTTTATGAAAATTGGTCAGTACGTGGCGTTTTTTCATTAACTTATTAACATATTTTTCTCATAATTAAACTTTATTAAACTATATAATGCTGTTTTGAACGATCACCTTTTGTCATTTTTCTGGTAAAACAATTACGACATCAGTGTAAGATTCTGGGATTTCTGGGCGAAAAACTGAACCAAGTGATTTTCACAGGCCTCTTTTAAAGTCAGCTTCACATCGTTAAGAGAGTTCTATGGAGAGCGAAACAAATGGTAGTGGGACGGGGCAACCTATAAGACGAATGCATCAAAACTTTCCAGCCAAGCTCTGTCAATTTTTGCCAAATTATTAAAGATGTGTGTGGTTTGGCATGGTCTTGATTTCCTGTTGGTCAACTCTGGTTGCTTTACTTCAATTACGCACTTTAATCGTGTCAGTTGTGGACAGTAGAGAGTCGAAGCAATGGTCTGACCAGGTTGGAGAAGCTCATAATGCACGATACCCTTCCAGTGCCACCAAACCCAAACCATTACCTTGCGTGGCGCCAATCCGGGTTTTGTCACTGTCTGTGCAGCTTCTTCCAGGTTGGAGAAGATTTTTTTTGCACATTATCGTCATGTGTCATCCACTTTTCATTGCCCGTTATAAATCTCTTCAGAAATTTAGCAGCGATTCGCAGATGTTAATTCAGTCCATAAAATTTTTCACTGTTAATCCATGAGGTACCAAAATATCGAGCTTCTTTTTGGCATCCAGCTTTATGCGAATGTCGTAAAACTTTTTTTTTATTAATGTTTAGTTCTGCAGCAATTTCATAAGATAAAATGTGCCGGTCTTCTCAAATTGTTTGAGGAATTTAATCGACGCTTTCAACAATTGACATGAGCACGGAGCGACTTTAGCATTGAAATGTGCAGAACGAAAACGAGCAAACCATTTGCGAGCTACTGATTTTGATACACCATCGTCACCATAAGCACCACAACTATTTTCACAAGTCTGCGAAGCATTGACGATTTGATCAAAGTAATATTGCACAATATAGCGATTTTTTCTGAATATTAGCTCATATTTAAAACGTTATTACTTTTGCGCTAAATTGACAAATGTCACTATTAGTAACTTGTAGTAATCTACAGACACTCACTTTTTAAACACTATATAATGCAGCTTGATAGGATCTGTATTAATAAAGTTATACAATTCTAAATTCAGCTATTGATAAAAACGCCACGAACTTTTCCTTGACCTTATATTTCAAGTTAAACAATTTTATTTTATAATTCATGACTTAAAACTTTAAAAGGTGAACAAAACGAAGAACGTAATATGAGTCGAGTATATTTTAACAATTTTTCAGATATTTTTCGAAAATTACATAACACTATAGGCGTGTCGCCTACCATCAGGCCCACGACTTGTAAACACAGCTGGGCTGTAAATGTGTGAATTTTTGCGTTTCTCCAATTAGTATCGAATAAATACTTTCTAAGCAAACACACTCCTTCCATATTGAATATAATTTACATAATATCAGTACAGAGTACTAAAAAACCGACCTCAAAAGTTCGTGGAATTGTATCTATTTGCCAAGTTTTATTGAAATCGGTTACCGGGAAGTGCGCAAAACCGGATTAATCACCTAGTTTGCTACTATGCGAGACTTAACACAGGATATAATAAAAATCGGTGCTCACTCTTAAAGTATATTGAGAGAAAAACGCCTTCAATTGGAGTATAGCAAAATCAACTATTAAAATAATTGCACCTTATATACAAATTTAGACGCTATTTATAAAAATAAGGGCTTATGCGTGAATATATATACCCTTAGAAATGGATGGTTTTTTTCAAAATTAAATGGAGGTACCCTCTTTCCAACAAAAAAAAGAATCATCAAAATTAGTTCACAGAATGGGTTCACCGGAGTTATCGCGTTTTTGTATGAAACAAAAAATACATACAGTCAAATTGAAAACCCCTTTCTTTTTTTGAAGTCGGAAACACACACACAGAAAACATAGTTCTAAAGCAAAAATGGTTATACAAGAAATACTCACAATGAACATTGAGTAGCCAACGATCTTCAACTACGGCCAAAGGTACCCTCGGGTTCTCAGCTCTGCAGGTCAGATACACATCGTGGTCTTCAGCAACTGGCACGAAGGTTAACACGCTCGTCGTTGAGTTCGTCTGAGAATACTGTATAAACAAAAACAATAAAAAATATCACTCATTATGTAGCGCTAGTGTTCCAGTGGGAGAAGAGTAATCATGAGTGCGGTTCACATATTTTTTTAACCAAAATAACGCACAATAGATATAATCAATTCATGGTATAATGACATTGGCGGACTGTGGCGTAAACCCACGCCTCAGAGGAGACCTGTGCCCAGAAGTAGGACGTCTAAATGAGTTGACAATAATGTAAAACACATTTGACATTATTGACTTACAAATAAATGGACGACGGGTCTAATACAAAAACCACCAAAAAAATGTCCTAAGTCAACCTATTTAAACGTAGTGACATGTAAAGGAATATGAAAAAGCTAAAACGTTGAATTTAAATTGTAATGTCATCGCAGTACTGTCTAATTTTGCTTGCTTCGCTGTCAGTCGAACAAACGAAGACTAAAGCGTGAATGACGCTCTGTATACGATTTTAACGCCCTATAAGTTCGGACACTTTTTAGCGCGGACTCGACGTCCATATAATTGTAAGTCAATGTTTGACATGGATATTCTTATGTGGTGTCATTGGGTATAAGATACTTATACGGGGAATTGTATACGTCAAGTAAGTCATATTACAAAATTGAAGAATTAAGGACGAAGGTGTTCTTTTTTAAAAAATCGATGATGATAAATTAATTGCGTGCGTAAGAAATTACCCAATGCTTTATAATATGATATAACACTACGTTCTTATTGGATCGTAAACCGCATCCTACGCACTGACTTGACTAATTTAAGATCGTGCGGCACGCACGAGGGGGTCTACTCTTGATCTGTCCGTCCGACATCCGTCCGAAACAATTGCCAAATAAGCAATACTTGACCAAATGAAAAGACGCGTGATGCGAATGAAGCTTCATACTGGATACTTGTCTTTTAATTTTGTCGATTATTACATATTTGACAGTAATTGTTTCGGACGGATGTCGGACGGACATCGAGAGTAGCCTCCGAGGTTCGGATGCCTCGGACATGACTCGCGCCCGTCACGGTCTAATGTGAATATGAATATGCAGCACGTCCGAGACTCGGATGATTCGGACACGGCTCGCGCCCGACACGGTCCTTAAGTGTTAGATAAAGATGTGTGGAAAGTTGTCATGAGTCTAGATCCACCCAATTATGATTCAAAGTGTATTCCATAGCATTTAAGTTTATCTGAAAAGAGCAATCCCTAGAGTTTCTTGCTCGCTCTTCTCAGGAAAGTCAGCATAGTGAACGTAAAATTACAGGCATATGGGACTTGCCAACTTATGTCTCTGAATGACGGGTGCAGTGGCAGTGCCCCACAGATCAGATTTGAAAGATCAGAAGAGACTTGGGATCATAAAAAGACATAATTAATATAATATACTGGTAATACTTATACCATTAATGCATTACATTACATAATCCTTATATCCGATGTTTGTTCTATTTAAGGTTTATTATACAGGATGAAATTTATACTTCTTGTTGTTATATAACACTTATTCATTATGTCCTTTGATATTGTATCAAATGCCTTTATACCAAGTGAAAATAGATATTTGTTGATGATCGATATATCATTACATGATCGATTATATCACGGCATTTATATCTGACACGTGATATCGAATCACATGTTTACCCGACATATCCCTCACCGTGAAAATAAACAAAATGTCAAAGTATGAAAACAAATAATGTCTGTGTGTTCCATGTTGTGTTTTAATCAAATATGTTTTATACTACGGCCCTTGTACGGTGGTCTACGACATTTTAATAATTTATTTATTTACATTTCAGTCAATTGTGTTAGTAAATCTTAGCCCACAGGCTTTAACAATCACAAGGTACAGGTACAGTCTCAGTCCACTCAAAATTATCGTTTAAACATGTAAACGACTTTTTTTTATAATCCAAGTGACGAAAAAGTCGTGCGCCTGATGTTAAGCGACACGACTGTCCATAGCAGTTGGAGTGCCACTCAGAGCTTTAAATCGCAAAGATCTGAAGGGCATTGCCACTGCGCCTGACACCCTGGGACATAAGTTGACACGTACCATGAGCCCGTAATTGCACTAGCAATCTTACCCTTCAAACCGGAACGCAGTAACTCTAAACGCAGGAGCTCCACTGTTACTTAAAATTATTATATATGGCAATGACTACGCTTCAAATGGTCGGTATCCAACTTTAGGGATTTTTTTAAAAAGGTCTATTCCTCTTTTGCAGGTCTGTAATAAATATCCACTATTCTTTTATAACATATTCATTACATTATTAAAATGTCTAATAAGGTTGACTAAAACACTAAGCTGCAAGCTGTTGAACCCTATTTATGTTATTTAAAGACGCGGTCGACACGTCAACTTCAAAGAGATTATTAATGTTTGATTCGCGTCTCTAGAGTATTGCTATTTGTGTTTTTGATATATACGTCACTGATTTTGGCTATTCTTTAGAGCGGTTACACACGACTTTTAGCAATGCGGTCCCTAATCGTCTACCCTTACATACGGGCGTGATTCTAAGCAGCGGTGCAATCGCGTGTTTGTATAGATGCAGTCTATATATCGCCACCTTTGAATCGCAAGTGTAGCGATGCAATCGCGCGTTTCACGAAGGCGCGTTTGCATCGCTGCTAAAGTCGCCGTGTGTATTCACTCTTGCGGAAATTCTCTCGACTACTAACGATTGGTGTCTGACGTATTTTACAACGTAGTAGCTACTGTGACAGCTGTCAAATCAAGACAATGCGCGTTTCGTTGAACACAGTATCGTTTATTTTTATAATATTTGATTACACATTTCAGCAATATGAATTGAAAATAAAAAGATGTCGATTAATGGATCTTTTCCTATACAATTATAGTAATTTTGTGATATAGATTGTATCTCGGTACACAATTTGGGTAAAATGTGAACGTATCCTTACTTAGATATCATCTTCAAGATACTCCACACTTCAAGATATTCCACTTTTGCTAAGCACTCTGTCTATAAGGGAGTTCGTTTTTCACGCCATACCGCGTCAAAGTGCAGAACGCTTTCAATTGCGTTATTTTAACTGCTTCTGTACATCTCCCCTGGGTTTGTGGTTAGCCGTCGAGATAAGTGCGTCTGCCCCGGTACCGGGGCGTTCACCCTGCGCAGCTATCGCGTATTAGTAGCATTCTAGACGAGGGCCTCAGGCGAGTAGGTGCGCTATGTCCGGACATTGCCACAGGACACTGCGACTGATATCTCTGCCACTAGCCCCAAGAGCTAGTAGAGGATATGCTGATATTCTCCGGTTCCACCAGTCGCGTAGGTTTCAGGGAGCTTAAGAGACGTTTCGGCGTCGGGATGTGAGCATGCAGACAGCTCCGACAACCAAAGAGGACATTTGATAGTGGACTTTAGACTCAATGGCTTAGCGGTGGCATCCGTAATTGCGAAATGCGCAACGAGAAGTGAGCGTCCCAACAGTTCAGGTACCTATCTGGAAAATAAGGAGGGCGCCGTACGTGCACCCGGGATAGAACCTGATGAAGTCTGTGCACACGGACTGATATGAGGTCAGGACCTGACTGATAAGGTCCCTGTGTAGGCTTGCTTGCACATGTTACAGTGCCGTTCCCGTATAACTAAAAGACTGATATGGAGGGTCCCATAAACAACTTATATCGAAAGATATGGGACTGCTACTGTACATCGTGTAAATCTGCGGACCAGCTTGTTCGCTCGAAATGACAACACTGCCTTCCTTCTCCATATTTGCATTATTCCTAAGATCTTCAGTCAGCATATGTCCAAGGTATTTATTTATTATATTGGTGCCATCTCCCAAGAGGCTCATTGAATACAACAAGCGGAAAAAAGAACATCAATTTGGTTTCCACCTTAAAGATCAGTTACTCTGTTTTTTTGAGGTTCTAAATCAAACCATTAGATACCGATTTCGGTGATCGTATACAAGCATACCAGACAGGTCAATTGATTCTCCATGGTTTAGTTAAGGAAAAGTAGTATCGTGTATGTTAACATATATCACGATATATGTATATATATAACATATATATACATATATCGTGTATGTTAAAGACATATATTTCGCTAAACTTGAAGAACGTAATACAGATAGAGTGAAATAATACCTCACTTACAAATCTCGCAATTATTTTATTGCATTTTGATTTGTTACCAGCAATTTAATATACGTATTTAGAAGAAAAGTTTTGTTAGTGTAAGTAAAAAATCATTCCAGAATTTCAGAGATAGGTATTGTATTATCCACTCCATATATTGTTGAACTTCAAGCAAAATATAGTCTGCCTATCTCTGGTTATTACACTTATCTACGTCTACAAATATAACGCCTAATGATTTTATCTGACAATCTAGACACGCAAAGAAAGAAAATATATTTATTTGTTTACCACAAAAGAAACAAAAACATAATAAAACATTCAAACGTTAAACACAAATTACGGAACTAGCCGCCGGAAGGAAGTTTTTTAAAAAGGCGATTTGTGTCCTTTTATAAGATTTTAATTAATGAAAATATTACATAGGTTTGCCTTAAAACTAATTATGCTAATTGACCGGTTCGCTTCAGCGATTGAGCGATAGTGTTCTCTAAAACGTTACATGGATTAACCTTAATTTCGACACTGCACTTTTGGGAATTTTACTAATGATTCACTGGTCTTTCACAATCAATGTTAGTATGCGGCGTCATTGTGAAGGGTGTGCTAACCCGGTGACACATTCTCTCCTAGACAAGCAACTATTTGCAAAGGTTGAGAGCAAATATTGCGGCCTGACGATCTTCCATAGATGTCCTTTCAGCTTCCATGGGTGTGGGGATCTCCGTAGTCCTTATATTGGTTTCAGGGTTTGTTTGTGTAATTTGTATCTGACGGCGGCGACGGTGTCGCAGTATTTATAAAATACTAAGTACAGCTGCACTTAATAGAGCGATGTACAACGGTATTGTCTATACATTTTATATTATA